GTGAAAGAAAGAGACTTCCAAGTCCAGGAAGCGCAGAGAACCCCAAACAAAAGGAATCCAAAGAGGACCACACCAAGACACATCATAATTAAAATGCCAAGAGCAAAAGACAAAGAGAGAACCCTAAAAGCAGCAAGAGAAAGACAGTCAGTTACCTAAAGGGAGTACCCATATGAATGTCAGCTGATTTCTCAACAGAAACTTTGCAGGCCAGAAGGGAGTGGCAAGAAATATTCAAAGTGATGGATACCAAGAACCTACAACCAAGATTACTTTACCCAGCAAAGCTATCATTCAGAATTAAAGGTCAGATAAAGAGCTTCACAGATAAGAAAAAGCTAAAGGAGTTCATCACCACCAAACCAGTATTATATGAAATGCTGAAAGGTATTCTTTAAGAAGAGGAAGAGGAAGAAGAAAGTAAAGATAAAAATTAGGAACAACAAATACATAGCTATCAACAAGCGAATCTAAAAATCAAGTGAATAAAAAATCTCCTTGGTATTAGCACCAACTAAAGAATTGGCAGTACAGATTTATGAGGAAGCCAGGAAATTTTCATACAGATCTAGAGTTTGTCCTTGTGTTGTTTACAGTGGTGCCAATATTGGTCAGCAGACTTAGAACGTGGATGCCACTTGTTAGTAGCTACTCCAGGACGTCTAGTGGATATGATGGAAAGAGGCAAGATCGGATTAGACTTCTGCAAATACTTGGTGTTGGATGAAGCTGATCGGATGTTGGATATGGGGTTTCAACCTCAGATTCGTAGAATAGTTGAACAAGATACGATGCCACCAAAGGGCATGCGCCATACTATGATGTTTAGTGCTACTTTCCCCAAGGAAATACAGAGGCTTGCTTGCGATTTCTTGGACGAATATATCTTCTTGGCTGTAGGAAAAGTTGGCTTTACCTCTGAGAACATCACACAGAAAGTAGTGTGGGTGGAAGAGGCAGACAAGCGGTCATTTCTGCTTGACCTTCTAAATGCAACAGGCAAGGATTCACTCACCTTAGTGTTTGTAGAGACCAAAAAGGGTGCAGATTCTCTGGAGGATTTCTTATACCATGAAGGATATGCATGCACCAGTATCCATGGAGACCAATTTCAGAGAGATAGAGAGGAGGCTCTGCACCAGTTCCATCAGGGAAAAGCCCGATTCTAGTGGCTACAGCAGGAGCAGCAAGAGGCCTGGACATTTCAAATGTGAAACATGTCATCAATTTTGACTTGCTAGGTGATATTGAAGAATATGTCCATCGCATTGGCCGTACAGGACCTGTAGGAAACCTTGGCCTTGCCACCTCATTCTTTAATGAGAGGAACATAAACATCACAAAGGATTTGTTGGATCTGCTCATTGAAGCGAAGCAAGAAGTGCCATCTTGGCTGGAAAGCATGGCTTACGAACACCACTACAAGGGTAGCAGTCACGGACAATCTAAGAGTAGTCGATTCAGAGGAGGATTTGGTACCAGAGACTATCTGCAGAGCAGCTGTGCCAGCAGTTCCAGCTTCAGCAGCAGCCACAGTGGGGGAGGTGGCCATGGCAGCAGCAGAGGGTTTGGTGGAGGTGGCTATGGAGGCTTTTACAACAGCGATGGCTACAGAGGAAATTACAACTCCCAAGGGGTTGACTGCTTTGCAGTAGGTCACCCTGCCAAACAAGCTAATATGGAAACCACATGTAACTTAGCCAGACTATACCTTGTGAAGCTTTAAGAACTTGCAGTACATTACCAGCTGTGATTCTCCACTGAAATGTTTTTTTTTTAAAGGGAGCTCAAGGTCACACGAAGAGATGAACAATCAGCAGCCCTGTTTGGAAGGTGGTTTGAAGACTTCATTGCTGTCGTTTGGATTAACTCCCCTCCCACCAACCCCCATCCCAAACTGCATTTATAATTTGTGACTGAGGATCATTTGTTTGTTAATGTACTGTGAGGGGGGAGGAGAGGAACAACTGTAATAATCTGAACAATAAAGATTTATTTTAAAAATAATAAAAAGCTGTATTACATCTATACAATGGAATACTATGCTACTATAAAAAAGAAAGAACTCCTACCATTTGCAACAGCATGGATGGACCTGGAGAGTAATATGCTAAGTAAAATGAGCCAATCCGAGAGGGATAAATATCACATGACTTCACTCATTTGTGGAATATAATGAACAACATAAACTGATGAACAAAAATAGATACAGAGACATAGAAGCATTGAACAGACCCTCAAACCTCAGAGGGAAGGCGGGGGTTGGGGGGTTAAGAGATCAACCAAAGGACGTGTATCCATGCATATGAGCATAACTAATGGACACAGACAATGGAGAAGGGGCATGTGCTGGGGGGCGGGAGTGGGTGGGGAGAGGTCAGTGGAGGAAAAAGGAGACATATGTAATACTTTCAACAATAAAGAATTTTTAAAAAAATGGGATAGTACCCTCCTGATGGAGGCCTTGCAAAGCAATTAGTTTCTTGGCCCAGTAAGCAATAATAAATTTCAACTATGGTTATTGTTACTACTGTAGAATTCCATCTGCATTCCTTGAGTCTTGATAACACCCCACAGACACTTGGGACCCAAGCACTGTGGGATGCCCTCAGACTAACATAACCCAGAAAATAGGATAGTCTCTCAGATCCCGAAGCCACGAGGAAAGACACCAACGGCCTTGAGGACATGCATCCTTGGGGACCACTATCTTAAAGGTCATTTGGCAGCACAGAACACAACCCTCCCCAGAAGGAAAATCATAGGATACTGAAGTTTCTCACTGCCCCCAAGGGGAGATACTAGATGTACTGGGTTGAAGTGTCCCCCCAAGATCATGTCCTCCATGGAACCTCAGATTACGACCCTTTTTGAATATAGAATCTTTGCAGATGTAATTAAATTGTTTTAAATGTTTTTTTATTGTTTTCAGAGAGGAAAGGAGAAGGGGAGATTGAAACATCAATGATGAGAGAGAACCACTGATCAGCTGTCTCCTGCACACCCCCCACTGGGGATCAAGCCCACAACCCAGGCATGTGCCCCAACCTGGAATCGAACCCTGACCTTCTGGTTCATAATTACAGCTCAACCACTGAGCTGTAATTAAATTAAGATGAGGTCATACTAGATGAGTGTGGGCCCTACATTCAGTATGACTTGTCCTTTCAGGAAGTGAAGAGAAACGAAGACAGAGACACACAGAATGAAGAAGGACATTGAAGAGAGAGGCAGAGATTGGAGTAATGCAGCTATGAAGCCAGGAATACCGAGGATTGTGGACAACTACTGGGAGCTGGAAGAAGCAGGTAAGGAGTCTTCCTTAAAGCCTTCGGAGGAAGTATGGCCCTGCTGCCACCTTGATTTTGGATTTCTGGTCTCCAGAACTGGGGGACAGTACATGTCTGTTGTTTTAAGCCACCCAGTTTGTGGCCCTCAGAAACTGCAGGGTGGGGCAAAAGTAGGCTGACAATCATTTATATGGAAAAATAATACAATATTTAATAAATAATAATATAAGAATAAAGCCTGTGTTTTGTGTACTCACAACTGTAACCACTACAAGGGTAGCAGTCACGGACAATCTAAGAGTAGTCGATTCAGAGGAGGATTTGGTACCAGAGACTATCTGCAGAGCAGCTGTGCCAGCAGTTCCAGCTTCAGCAGCAGCCACAGTGGGGGAGGTGGCCATGGCAGCAGCAGAGGGTTTGGTGGAGGTGGCTATGGAGGCTTTTACAACAGCGATGGCTACAGAGGAAATTACAACTCCCAAGGGGTTGACTGCTTTGCAGTAGGTCACCCTGCCAAACAAGCTAATATGGAAACCACATGTAACTTAGCCAGACTATACCTTGTGAAGCTTTAAGAACTTGCAGTACATTACCAGCTGTGATTCTCCACTGAAATGTTTTTTTTTTAAAGGGAGCTCAAGGTCACACGAAGAGATGAACAATCAGCAGCCCTGTTTGGAAGGTGGTTTGAAGACTTCATTGCTGTCGTTTGGATTAACTCCCCTCCCACCAACCCCCATCCCAAACTGCATTTATAATTTGTGACTGAGGATCATTTGTTTGTTAATGTACTGTGCCTTTAACTTTAGACAACTTTTTATTTTGATGTCCTGTTGGCTCAGTAATGCTCAAGATATCAATTGTTTTGACAAAATAAATTTACTGAACTTGGGCTAAAATCAAAAAAAAAAATCTGATGAACTGAATAAACTGGTGAATATAATAGAATCAGGGGCATAGAAAGGGAATGGACTGACAATTCTCAGGGGGAAAGGGGTGGGGGGGG